ACAAATTACAAAATAATTAACTATTAATAAAAAAAGAGTAAACCTCTAGAATAAAAAAAATTTAACTTAGTTTGAATAACAATAATATTCTCATAATCTAATGATTATCTTTTTTTTTTTTTGTTTTTTCTTATTAAGGTAAGTGGTTCGGGGGGAGGGGGGTTGAGAGTGGATCAAACCCTTATTATAATGAAAAAAACTTACATTAAATTGTTAGTCCATTAGATCAATAAGCCTTCTTCAATGGTTATCTCTCTTTCATAAAATATTTTTCATATAAAATTTGACAAATATAAAATTTAAATCTCCCACCTAACATCTTGAAAAAAAAAAAAAGTACCAGGAGTTGCAGTACACATGTCCATTGTATAAAAACTCAATCATCCAAAATGTTCCAAAAAGAAAAACACTCGTACCAACAGGGAGAAGATATATCATCTTGTCGTTTACTACCACCAGAACCAATTGGTTTGCTATTTGAACGGTCTATAATTTCCAGCTGTAAAATTAAGGCACAGCTTCAATTATTGTGCTGTGCGAGGACAAGAATATCTGCAGCCATATGCCACACAATCCAGTTCATCAATGAATTCAGTGTTGCCTTATGGAAAATGGAAAAAATTTTTAATGCAATTTCCTACTTCATTGAAATATTGGATATTTGGTTGGCTGTCCTCAGCGTGATGTGACACTGACCCATCAACGGAATTCACAGAAAAATGTGTGTATTTTCATAATTATTCTTGTTTATATATAAAGTTTTTCTACGAATCAAACTTTAAGGTTGAGGAATTGGTCGTCGAACTTTAAATGTTTAGATTTAATTAATTAAAAATTTAATTCTTATCAAGACTTAATAAAAATATCTTTCATTTCTCAATGTTTAAAATAAATAAATAAATAAATAAAAGGTTTCTCTATTTTATCCAATTGTCATTATGTTGATTATTTGTTAAAATTATATGTTTTATTAGTAATTTTATTAGTTTGTATATATTTTTATTTTTAATAATTTAATTTGAGTTTTTAATTTTTTAAATATAAAATTTAAATAAAAATTTAATAATTTATATAGATAGCAATTGAAAAGGTTTTTTATATAAATTTTTTGTGAAGTGATTCTATTAGATTAAAAAAATTAGATTATTATTTATATAATATATTAAAATTTTAAAAAAAATTTAAAACTAAAAATTTAAAAACTAAAATTAAAAGTATTAAAAATGAATAAAAATAATATTTTTTAGAAAAATTAGTTATCATCATTTGTTTTTAATAATTTAAAATTTGATAGTTTGTTTAGCCCTAATAAATTTAAAGATAGTCATAACCATAACCTATATCTTAGGACATTAGTGTAATAAATTTGTTATTTCATAATTAATTTACATAATAAAGTATAAAAATTGACTTTTATTTTTAACATGATTGCTATGTGAATGGATTTAATTGATTAATTAATTAAATTAAAGTCAATATTTATATTTTTTTATACAAATTAATTATATAAATTGCATTCTTAATTTAACTCTAAAGAGTGCAGGTTAAAAAACCATCAAATAAAACTCATTTGTTTAATTCATAAAGAAATTCGGCATAGTTTTACTACTACCATGTAAATTTCTAAACAGAAGTTATGTCACACCTACTATGTACCCTTAATTTAATGACATAATTAAATTGTTGAGTATGATAAGACAAAAGTATTAATAGTTTGTACCGAAAATAAATAGAAAAGGCATTAATAATTTGGACAGAGTTAGTTTTAACATGAAATTTCAAGTGCACCAAAGTGGTAAAGATTGTACATGGTGGATGGACAACAGATGGAAAGGTAGCTAAAATTTAAGACACAATTCATTCTAATCACAAAAATGGAAAAAGGGAAAACTCATCACAGAACTGTAAACGAAGGAAAAGGCACCAAAGTCTGAAGAATAGTATGAAAAAGCGTGGCCACGCCCGAGCCTGAAATCTGCCTACCTTGTTCAATCCATCGCCTTTGGTCCCAACTTACCAAATTCTGCATTGAATGCTAGGTTTTTTTTTTGGTTTTCCACCCGGTATCCGGGGTTTCGTCCCAATTAATTCAGACTCGATCTACGTCGCACATCTGAAAATGGTAGGTGAATCTCCCAACGAGGGCTACTGCATATACAAGATCTCAAACTCGAGACATTGCTTAAATTGAAACAAGCCATTTACTAGTTGATCCAACCCCTCATTGGTCATTGAATGCTAGTAGAGTAATGAAATATCAGATGGGAAAATGAGAAAGTTGAAAACGTTGGGGGTAAGATTGCATATTATCACGAAAATTAAGCACCTTTAGGCTTCAATAGGTGATGGTAATAGTATTTACCTGCTTCTAGACTACAATTAATCTCTCCCAATGAAATGCTGACACCATTTCTAAATCTTGCCCAACAGGTATGGTACTACCCATTTAGAGTTTTAAAGGGTTTTCCCTTTATCAAATTTCGAATCTTTGATTGAAATGGGTGTCGAGCATTTCTCCAACAATCTATTCTCAACCCACAAATTTGATTTTCTTGTTGTGAATGATTTCATCTTCTCCGTCTCAATTTTATGTAAAATCAAGCAGCCTTGAGGAATGCATAAAGAGGTCTGCTTTCTCACCAACTCCCTTTACATCTCATGTATTAAAACTCCAAGCTGTGAGATTTCAAAAGCAAAAAAGTAGTAGTATTCTAGATCTTTCCTGGGTTTCTTTACCCTTTATCTTAGACATTTGAACATTGCTTTTTCTTGTTCTCCAACGTTGAATTCCAATCAAAGTTGACATTTTTAGTGCTAGTTTAGGTCTAATTTGTTTTATGATTAGTGAGCTCACGTGATTATTTTGAATAAAATTAGGGTTCCAATTATTTAATGCTGTGTTCTTTGGAGCAGAAAGGTTCTGTGATTGACTTTGATAACACCCAGAAGGATATATTTTTTTTTCCCATCAACACATTAACATTATTTTATATTAAACAGTAACACTTAGTCTGGTTACAACCTCCATTAAAAACAAAATAACTTTATTTTACATTAATCAAGGTACCTTCCATTATTATTTTACTACTTCTCCCCACTAATTTTCATCCAGCGGCCCACGAGATTCATATTTAATTTTTTTTTAAACCTGTTCCATGAACATAGCTTTGAGGTCATGGCTGTGCCACGTAAGCCAAGAGGAATAAAGCGGGAAGATAACGAGGGTAGGCTTGAAAGAGTGGTGGACATTTGTAAAAGAAACAATAAATAAAGTGGTAGTATGATATAGAAAGGTAGGGCCTATAGAGCGGAGCACTGTTTTTTTCTGCGTTCACATAAACGGTTTGTGTTTTTTTCATGGGAGATTTGTTTGTTTCATTTTTATTGTGATTGCGGAGGGGTTTTATGAGGCTGAGAAGCTTTCTGGGTGTTAACTAAAAGTCCTGTTGTTGCTGTGTGGTTCTCTTTTCAGGTTGGTCTAGCCGGAATAGAACAACGTCCTTCCACTGTGATACTGGTATCTATCCCTCTTTCTGAGACACACGCTGTACTCTGGACATTTATGGATATATCTTGATGGGTTTTTTCTGGTGGTGATGTTCTTGTTATTTTGGGGCTCAAAATTGGTTCTTTATGAGTGATCTTTTTGTTGTGTGGTGGGTTTTGTATTTCTTGTTTGTTTGTTTTATTAAATTTCTTCTGATTCGTGGTGGTATTGCTTGTGATAGCGTGCCCGCTGAAATTTTTGCATGCTTAGAGATTGTTTATTTACTGCTGTGTGTGTCTACAGGGAATTGTGTTTCTATTTCTTGATGGGAAGTCGGTCTCTTTATTTGTGACAAAATGGTAATGGTAGAGGTGAGAGACTCTGTAAGAAGCCCTAGAATTCCTCGATTTCTTGGATGCGTTTTTTGTGGGCTTCATGCAACCCTTGTGGATAACAATGGAGGGTTCATCTGAGTCTGCTTGGCAGCAATCTGATAGTTCTAGGGGATTCAATACGTCTGGTGTCTCAGACAGGGATCCAAGGCAGCCTCATGTTGAAAGAATTGACATTTCAGGCGATGCATCGTTTGATTTTGGGTCTGGAAAGGAGGATGAAGGGGATTTGCTGGCTCAGAATGATCAACTTAGAAGTCAGGTTGGTATCTCTGGGGTTTGTGAGGATGAGGCAGCAGTAAACCCTTTTGTCCGCTCTATAGAATGGGGTGATGTTAGCTTGAGGCAGTGGTTGGATAGACCAGAAAGACCTATTGATGTGTTTGAGTGTTTGCATATATTCCGGCAAATAGTGGAAATTGTAAATGTAGCTCATGCACAAGGAATTGTAGTTAATAATGTCCGGCCATCATGTTTTATTATGTCCTCATTTAACCACGTTTCCTTCATTGAGTCTGCATCTTGTTCAGATTCTGGATCTGATTCTGTTGAGGATAGTTTAAACGGTCGAACCATGGGGGTTAATGATTTATCCTCTTGTTTTCCCCATGACATGTCTCAAAGAAGTAGGTTAATGGATGAAGATCTCCAAACTCCAACAAATGCTTTATCAGAAGCCAGTTGCATGCAGTCAAGTTCAGTTTGTGCGAGAAATGCACTGTTAGAAGAGAGTAAAGAAAATAAAATTTTAGATAGGAGGAATTTTGAACAAGTAGAAGAGAAGATGCAACCATTTCCAATGAAGCAGATATTGCTCATGGAGACCAGTTGGTACACCAGTCCTGAAGAGGTTGCTGGTTCTCTACGCACATGTGCTTCTGACATTTATAGGTTGGGGGTTCTCTTATTTGAGGTATGTAATAAAAAAAAAAAAAGTGTTTCTTGCTCTTACCATGATTTTAAACATTTTTTTTTAAACAGATTCTACTTAGTTATTATCATAGTTCTTGTTTGTGCCTATTTTGAACTTTTGAGACTTCCTTTCTTTGCAACTTATCCAATAGTTCTACGTTTCTGCAGTTATTCTGCCCATTTATCTCCAGAGAAGAAAAGACCAGAACAATGTCTAGTCTGAGACATCGAGTTCTTCCTCCTCAGTTGCTTCTGAAGTGGCCAAAGGAAGCTTCATTTTGTTTATGGTTATTGCATCCTGAGCCAAGTAGTCGACCATGCATGGGGTGATTCTCCTTACAAAGTCCTCTTACATATCTATATGCTATTTGCTTGCATGCAGACTTTCGTATCTTATCTCTCTTTGAATTTGTTTAATTGCATTAGTATTTATTTTGGGCAGTCCTATGCCTCTAAGGAGCTGATAGTGATATCATATCTTTTCCTTCTTTAAGTTTTTAAATCAATATTTGAAAAGATAAATGTATCTTTACTACTAATGTCACGTTTATTTCTTTTGATATTAATTGCCTCTGCTGAATATTTAAGTATTAGGATATAATTATTTTTCTTTGGAAAAAGAAGAAAAAAAAAGGTAGAATTAGTTGTCAATTTTTTTCTTTTGCAAAGACGGATGCTTTTGCTTTGTCTTCTCTTCTGTAAATTAATAATTAATAAAAAAATCCTGTTCATATCATCTTCATACATTCAAACTAAGATGGATCTCTTTTTATTTGCTTTCTTTTGAGCTTCTGTTAAAATATCCTGCTCTCATTCTAAATATATATGTCATTTAATTTGCTTAAGCATGCTGCTTGCACATGGAAGCAACTATTGAATTAGATTGATGTGAATCTTGTAACCTTCTCCCATGTAACCTTCTCCTTTGTGTAACAGTGAGTTGTTACAAAGTGAGTTTCTTAATGAACCCAGAGATAATCTGGAAGAACGTCAGGCAGCAATTGAACTTAGGGAGAGAATTGAGGAGCAGGAATTGTTGCTTGAATTCCTTGTGCTGATACAACAAAAAAAACTGGAAGCTGCCAATAGATTGCAAGATACCATTTCTTTTCTATGTTCTGATATTGAAGAAATTAAGAAGCAACAAGCAATTTTAAAGAAAAAGGGAAGCTCGCAATCAGAAGTTGGGAAGGATGACTACTCTTCATCAAATCTTCCCTCAATAAACATTGTTGATAATGATGATCCTTCTAGGTTGGTGTCTAGAAAAAGATTCAGACCAGGACTTAATATTCACAACGTAGAAGAAAGTGGTGATAATCTAGACAGTGATAAAAAATCAGAAGCACTCGCCGGAAATCAAGAAAATATTCTCCTGAGAAGTTCTCGGTTGATGAAGAACTTTAAGAAACTAGAGTCAGCTTACTTTTTGACAAGATGTAGGCCGGTCAAACCGTTAGGGAAACCATTGGTTAGACATTCACCAATAAATAGTGATGGCCGAGGATCTATTGTTCTGACTGAAAGAAGTTCTGTCAATAATTTACCCTCAAAAGAGCAGCATATTGAGGGCACAGACAGTGGATGGATAAATCCCTTCCTTGAGGGTTTGTGCAAATATCTATCTTTCAGTAAGTTAAAAGTTAAGGCAGATTTGAACCAAGGAGATTTGTTAAATTCTTCCAACCTTGTCTGTTCCCTTGGTTTTGATCGTGATGGAGAATTTTTTGCCACAGCCGGTGTAAATAAGAAGATCAAAGTATTTGAATGTGATGCAATCATAAATGATAATCGTGATATTCACTATCCTGTGGTTGAAATGTCAAGTCGATCAAAGTTGAGCAGCATATGTTGGAATAGTTATATTAAAAGCCAAATTGCTTCAAGTAACTTTGAAGGTGTGGTGCAGGTATGTAAACCCTTCACATGTTGATGTGGTCAACTATTTCTTACATTTTTTTAAAATCAAATTACTCGACAACTTTAGGTGTGGGATGTTACAAGATGTCAAGTACTCACAGAAATGAAAGAGCATGAGCAGCGTGTATGGTCCATTGACTTCTCCTCAGCAGATCCAACAATGTTGGCTAGTGGGAGCGATGATTTCTCTGTCAAGCTATGGAGTATCAATCAGGCAATTCTATTTTTGCCCTTGGTGGATGTCAGCTTTGAAACTAAACGTACTGCAGTAATATAATTTCTTATTTTGTATGCTTATACTGGGTGTGTGATAAGTTTCTTTTTTCTCTTACTTGGGTTGGTACTGCAGGGAGTAAGTATTGGTACCATCAAAACAAGGGCCAATGTTTGTTGCGTCCAGTTTCCATTGGATTCTGGTCGTTCGCTTGCATTTGGTTCGGCAGATCATAAAATTTATTACTATGATCTTCGAAACTTTAGAACTCCTCTGTGCACATTAGTTGGACACAGTAAAACTGTTAGTTATGTCAAGTTTGTTGATGCAACAACGATTGTTTCTGCATCAACTGATAATACACTGAAGCTCTGGGATCTGTCAATGGGCACATCTCGGGTGATTGATGCTCCCCTTCATTCATTTACAGGCCACATGAATGTAAAGGTACATTTATTCATATTGAGTCTTTATGCATGCATTTTCATTGTGTATCATATTTTTTTCTTGTATTGGTAAGATGCCATATATATATATATATATATTTTTTTTTTTTCATATAGTACATATAAGATCTTTAAATTGTATGATCAATATCGTTCTTTAACATATTTGTACTGAGAAGAGAACAAAAAGGAAATTAAGAATCTGTATCCTCTAGTTGTCACCATATGAAAGTGAAGTTCTTAATGTTCCATGTGCACAAGTGTGAGACAATATTACTCTGGTATGCTAATTTACATAAACTTCCAGTAACTTTGTTCTTGTCAAGTATACATGAATGATGAATCTTGAGAATACTTCTCTCTGGTGGTATTTCAAATTTACTGAGTATTTATATTCGAAGTACATAAGAGAAACGTGTTTACTGTTATCCAATCTAAGACATCTCATAAAGTACTAGAAATGGAAGTGGATGGCCAGACAAATAAGAGAGAATGAGTGAGAACAAAGTAAAATTGATGGTTCTCTACCTGGAACAAAGTTTGACTGGCCAAAGTCAATGTTGTTACAGTGCTTCTAGATCATCAACTTCTATAGCATTTTTGGCTTAATTGCAACATTGAAATGGGGTTAGTGTCACTGGCCAGAAGAAGACAAAAAGGGTTGGTGTTGATATCTATTTCATGAATTTACTGGGAATATTTTTTTCTTATTACTTGTTAGCAAATAAGCTACAAAATATTAGATATCTGGCTTGCAATGATTTTCTTCCTGTTTGGGCGTATTCATGACAATGAATTAACAAAGCTGCCATCATATCTACAATCTTCAATCTGATAATTGCTTGTGATAAATATTCCCTGTGCATCACATTATTCTTATTCTGGATGCGTGTTCTCCTTGGTACAGAACTTTGTAGGCTTGTCGGTGTCTGATGGTTACATTGCCACTGGATCAGAAACTAATGAGGTAATTCATAAATCATCCTCATAAGTTCATAGAGAAATAACTGTCGATAGCAATGCCAAAATCTGTTGGCTAAGATTAATGAAGTAATTCCTTTTTCATTTTCTGTTTTAAACTTCAGACTAGTTTACTTAAACTCATAAAATGTGAAGTTGGCCTTGAGAGGAAACTCTGTCCAATTTCAAAGACTGCTGTTTGTGGATGAATGCATTTTGCACCACTGCTACCATCTGAGAATGAAAGGGACATGTTCATCCCTGTGGTTGAGGCTTATTCATTTATTCAACTTGGCATTTAGGAAAATGGTCAATCTGCATGGAGATAATTAAACTACTTTTCTCTTTTTATTATAAGAACATCAGTGTTGACATTACTAGTATAACACAATTGTCGGAAGGGCTTTGGTGTAGGATAATCACAATTATAGAATGATTGATTTAAGAGATATCATGGAATTAAGACTTGACAATCATAAATTGATTGTGATATTATTATATAGAGAGACTGGTAGGATTGGTTGCGGCTCTTTTTAATAAGTTGATTATCTAATATCCTCTAACGCATCTCTTCTCATACTCCAAGAGTAAAGAAATGTAGCCCATAGGGCTTTTTGTGACATTGATCTATGGGGTCATTGATTAGGACCATGTAATCTTTATCTTCTTCATTATCCATCTAATTTCTCTCCTACTATGGTTTTCTACCTTTGGTGGTGTTCTGGATAAAAAGTGCATCCTCCGTGTTGCATGCTTATACTTTTCCAATAGTTGAACAAGCAAATAATTTATCATGTTGATTCTTTTCTTGTATTGGATTGATTCCTGAAAATTGAGATATCGATACTCTGCAATTTTCTTAGACATCTCTGCACAGCTACACATGGATGAGGATGGATGGGGATGGATAGAGATGGATGTGGAATTTATATGCAATTTTTGTGTTTTAATATAGAGACTCTTGGATGCAGGTTTTCATCTACCATAAAGCTTTCCCAATGCCAGCATTGTCATTCAAGTTCAACAGCACAGACATGTTTTCTAGTCACGAAATAGATGATTCTTTGCAGTTCATCTCTTCTGTTTGTTGGCGTGGCCAGTCTTCTTCTACCTTAGTCGCTGCAAATTCTACTGGAAATATCAAAATTTTGGAGATGGTTTAATTTGGAGTCCTCTGCTCTCGAAACCCTTCAAGAGGATGCAGAAGAATTGTACAACAACAAGAATCATATTGAAAGAGCTCAAGGGTATAGCACCCCAAAAACAATTTTTGGCAGTAGATGATAATTGATAGCGGATGCATTTAAAATATTAGAGACTTAATCAAATCTCTGTAGATAAAATTCAAGGAGGAAAACAAAAGGATAAGAAAATCACCTTCTCCTGTATATTTTGTAATGCCATATAGTTTCATAGCCATTTTTTGAGTGATTACAATTATTTTCAGATGCCTCATCTCTGTTGTTGCTCAATACTCTGCTGGACCATGTTGGAGCTCCTCTTCACACAAAAAACCAATTTCAGAACAGTAGTTCTTACAATAATAAGAGCACGAATCTCTATACTTCTGTTGGTTGGATGGGTTTTTCATGGTCAAAAGAATGGATAGAGCACCATTTGTTCTGTTAATACCTCTTACATTTGTCATTGTGATTATTAGGTAAAATCTGGAATGCTCATATGGCATCCAAACTTAATGCAGTGATCTCTCCTGATGAAGGGTGTTAACATGTCGGCTGTGAACTCTTGTTTCACCTGATCTTGATAGCTGGACGGTCTGTATCTCTTCTTAAAAGGTGAAATGAATGGCAGACGCAAGAGGACGTTGCTGGTAAACCCAGGTTGCTAAGCAAGAACACAATCCTCCAGAAGGATTGGATTAAGAACTTAAAATGGTAAGGTATAAAGAAAACGAGAAACATCAAGAGAGCCCTTCAATGCTATGGAAGTATGGAACAATACATCTGATCCAATTATCAGAAGAGGGGCCAACGCATCCTCAAAGTACTGTTTTCTCTGCCATGCAATATATTTGAATTATTACCTTGTAGAAAGGTATAACCGTATGGAAGTGGAATGGACCGACCAGAAAAATGGTATTGTGAGTACCATCCTGATCCCCAAAAATGGCTAAAGTTCTGAATCCCTATGCTTTTAGGGATGACACCTTCAATTATCCTGTGTTCATGACAGGAACAACTCCCTGAAAAAATTCTTCCACAAGAATGACTTTCCCATCTGTAAATCTATTTACATCGATCTCTACCAAGATTTGCAGTCCTGTTTAACCTAGCTAAAAGATTGCTAAGCCTTTGAGCTCCCGGACCTGGCTTGATCCTGCTTTGGTCTCCAACCTTGGAACAGTTGGGCCTGCCAGAGCACCAACCACCTGGGGTGAAGCTACTTTTATTTCGACCAAGTAGTTCCTTATCAATCTTATCCAACACAGGGTCATCTTGCTTGAACTTCCGAGCAAAGGCAGCATTACTTGCAATCATCTTCTTTGTGTCATTAACGGAAAGGGTGTGTGGGTGCTGTTTAGGGGGCACATCCCAAGAAATATAATGCAAATCATGATTGACAACCGTCTGAGAGAACTCTGGAGCATTGCATATGACTGTCTGAAAATATCCTTCCGGGGAGGACACAAAATTTGTGTAGTACATGAGGAGGGTTCTCGGTAGATTATCCCAACCCCACACACAGTACTCCACAAATGACCGCGATAGAACCATCCATGCCGAACCTACAAGCAAACAGGAGACGTCATGAATCACACTACACTGCCAATTCTGCAGAAGAAAACAGATTCACAGCTAAGGGAGAAGGTTCATACAATGTGCATGTAGACAATTTGTTATTTCCAACTTGAAATGCTGACTTTATCCAAGGTATTTTCACAAGTAATAGAATGTTTACAAGGGAAAACTCAAAGAGTAAAGGAATCAAAAGCATAGACAACAGAGTTACTAACCAAGTGATCTTTAGAACTGCTTCAAATCAATCAAAGTGAGATCTTTAGAAAAGTCACCATAATACCAAAATTTACTAGCAAGATTGTAAAATTGATAAAGGTTGACTTGTGTAGGTGCCCAAACACCAGGATCTCAACATTTTCCAAAAGACATGTTGGTTAGTGAAACCGCCATGAGTACAAAGAATTTATTTGAACATAAAAATTCTTGTAATATCTATTTGAAAAGAATCAGACAATACTTAATGATCAAAAAGAAAATTAAATGATCAAGGGAAAACAAACCAGTGAATAATTTAAATGCTGTCGGTAATGTTCTCCTTGGTGTAACCCCAAACACATCTGACTTAGTCAACTTGTATAGACCAGGATCTATAATCAACGGCATAGCTCTTTTGTCCCTGCAGAATACAATCAAAATTATCAGTATCCAACATAGAATTCCAAGAAAGAGAGAGAAGGAGATAGAGAGCATACGCTTTCCAACCCAGCTGGCTTGTCTGCTCGACAAAGTTAATGCTCCGGTTTAAAGATGAAAATGTGTAAAGAAGATCTGCAAATTAAAAACTAATTGAGCAATGATTATCTATGCAAACATTGAATAACCCAGCCCCCCCATGACTGCTCAGTCCCAATCTCAAAAGAAAAGGGAGAAGAAATTCATATGAGACTAACCATCCTGCGTGACAAGAGGATAATCTGAGGCACTGAGATTGATAAACCAATCCCATTCTGCACTTCTCTTGAGAAGAATGGCACAAGCATGAAGAGTGTTAGCAATCATCGTTGGTCCCCTGTAAGTAATCAAATTAGCCTTGGTGATCATGTAAACATTCCCAACTTTGGAGAATATTGTGTTGTTTCTAATCCGGGAAAGTAGTTCCATTCTTTCCTTGGCTGGTGACTCAAGGTCCAAATGCACAACATATTGGTTCCGTGGATGATACAATGCATGAAGAGTTCTCCAAAGCTTTTCCAGATCACCTTTTGACCCAGAAACTAAGTAAGCAAAACGAGGTAATGCAGGACCAGAAGGAGGGGGTGGAGATTGTATGACTTTTGATTCAGCATAACCTAGGTTTCTTTGGTTTATTGAAATATGGGAAGGGAAAAGCGAGAAGATTGCATTGATACTGTGAAGTTTAGTGATGAGACCCATATTGAAGGAGGTTGCAAGAAGAAATACACACATGAGTGAGCTGATCACCAGAGGGAATACCCATTTCTTCCCCATGTTCATCGACATCATTGCAAAACTTTATCATGGGATCCGGTAAATCTTTCAGAATTCAATTTTTCTTATCCTCAGATTCTCTTCACCGAAAAATACAAACAAGAATTCTTGATCATCAAATCAGGACCTTTTCTCCTTATACATTCCAAAAGTAAGGACTTGGTATAGCTGTTAAATGAAAACTACATCAATACTAGTTTAACATCCCAAAACAAATTATATTCTAAAATCAAATCCTGTTATATTCATTCTCATTAAGCAATGAAATCGAAACTCGAGAAGACAAACTGCTCTGGTCACAGAATCCAAAATCAACAAGAATTAAAATAAAAAGATTGACGGGGAAGGCATGAAAGATACCATTAGTAAAAGATGGTTAAACAAGGGAATGAAGAATAGACTAAAAAGAAGCAAACAAAAAGTAAACAATTACGTAAAGCATCATCAATTAAAAATAGAAACATTACTTAAATATGCAATGTCAATCAGCTTCTAAGAATCCCCTTTAAAAACGACACAATTCCTAAAGTTTCACAATGCCTAGCACAAATCTAATGATCAAAAACAAAAACCCTAACCAGCAGTTTCCCACGTAGAACAACAGATTGAGAAGGGGAAAAACAATAGCAGAACAAGAATAAAACAAAAAACCACCCACATCACGTAAGAAGAAACACTGCTCAAATCTAAACATCTCAGCTCTAAATCATTCAACTACACGTGTGAAATGGGTGGGGGAAGAAAAGGCATAGAATTTACGGTAAAAACAACACAAACAAGGAAACCACTGGATTCAAAACTCCATAAAGTAAAGTAAAACATTAAAGAGGAAACATTCATCATGAACATGACATGGGAAAAAAAAAAAAAGAAAAACCGACAAAAGGTTGAAAAAGAGAAGCGGGCAAACCTGGCTTGGACGCAGAGACAAGACTTTGATCCCTGTCCCCTGCACGTTCAGGAGAAAGAAAAGGGTTGAAAAGGGGAAAAGGTAAGGGCTGTTAAAGAAAAGGGTACTGTGGATTTTGATCAAAAACTTAAACCCAAATGAGAATATCTCGAGGGATAACAGAGGCTTTGGAGTTTCTGTTATCGTTGTTGTTGAATTTACCGAAAGCCGGCGGAAGCCTTACATTAACATCTCATTAAGACGGCATTATTATAGATTTCCAATTACATATGTTTCCATAATGGATCGTTTCTTTACCATCAATGAAGGAAATGAATCACTTCTCTAGTCTTAACCCACAACAATTAATGAATAATGAGTCCAAGAAACAAAATTTATGTTCAAAGCTTGGACATTTGAATGTGGAAACCAAAATTTACTGCTAAAATTGTAGAGATCAGTTAAACAGTTGCCTAATTGATGAGCAAAGACTGAACTTTCGGTTCTTCCCTGTTCGGGCACGCTGATGTTATGCCAATGAGGCGGTATTGATAATAAAAGTAAGACTTAAGTTTTGTGTGCTACGTATAGATTAATTATTACTTTATGTTTATTTTATTTGTTATATATTTTAAAAGAGAGTGGTGCAGTGTATCTTGACTTCAGGTGTAGTGTATTTGGACTTTAGGTTTAGTGACGTTAAGTCATGTTTAAGTGTTTTTTTTTTTTTAGGCAATAGTTTAAATTTAACTCTTATAAAATTGTTAAAAAAGAAGAGAGGTGTAGTTTATTTGTTAATTTTTTTCTTAAAGATATGTTTCATTTGACGAAAATAAATAAAAGAGATGAATAAATTTTTTTGGATATGATTGGAAGCTTAAATTTGATGTATTTTAAATATATGTATTTAAAAAATATATAATTTTAAATATATATAATTTTAAATTTATTATTTGAAAAATATAACAATAATAAATTTAATATTTAATTTGTTGATTGATGAAAAAAAGGTTGAAAACTTGAAATACATAAATTTAAATTAAAAATACATGAAATTGAAAAGATATTTTAAATATACAAATTTAAACTAATGAGATGCATGAATTCAATTACATATATGAAATGCATTAATTCAATTACATATATTTAAGATAAATTTAATTATATATTTATTTTATAAAAATAAATTATAATATTAAATTTAAAAAATTCAAATTCAAATACACTCTATAAAACACAATCCCAAACATACTATTAAAAAATTCATTCTCTCCAAAAACGAACATTCCCTTAAAACATTAAAATCATAAATAGAAACCATTATATATCTTACGTGATAAAACCGGTCATGAATTAGCAGTAATTTGTACATCAGTTTTTTTTAATGTTGTTCGTGCTACAGTATCTAATACATTTATCCGGTTTTTTTTTTTTTGAAAATGGGAGAATTTGGGAAAAAATTTGATTTTATAAAAATTAAATTTTTT